TTATCCCTCCTTTGTGCTATTGTGATTAATGTTTAGGTCCCACTATGAATGAGAATGTGTGGAATTTAGTTCTTTGTAATAGATCACTAAATATTATGTTCTCCAATTCCATCCAATTTGCTATAAGGTCCATAATTTTGTTCTTCTTTATGGCTGCATAATACTCCATCGTGTATATGTACCACATTTTCTTTACTCAGTTCACTTTCAATGGGCAGTATAGTTGATTCTGTGTTTCTGCTATCGTGAATAGTGCTGCTATAAACATACATGAGCAGGTAGAATGATTTACGTTCCTCTGAATATATTCCAAAAAGATGGATTGCTGTTTCATATGGAAGGTCAATTTTTAGTTCTTTTAGGAATCCCTACACAGCTTTTCATAGAGGTTAAACTAGCTTGCATTTCCACCAATAGTACAGAAGTGTTCTCTTTTTCTCCACACCCATACCAGCAACTATTCTTTTTTTTTTTTCTAACTTATTTATTAATGACAGCTGTCCTTACTGAAGTTAGGTGAAGGTGATATCTCACTGTAGTTTCAATTTGCATTTCTCTGATAATTAGTGAGGCTGAGCATTTTTCCATATATCTGTTGGCTGCCTATATATCTTCTTTTGCCCACATTTTAATGTCTTTTGCCCACATTTTAATAGGATTGTTTGCTTTTTCCTTTCAGCTCATTTGAGTTCCTTATAAATCCTGGACCTTTGGGGGGTAGGAGGGTGGGGACTAGACACACACACACACCAACACAGAGGGTACCCGGCCTCATACCAGGGGAACTGAGGGCCAGTTGGAGGCCCAAACTTCACCTGCATGTAGCCTATTTATGTAGTTAATCCTTACTTGTACCCTCACATCGCTAAAATAAAACAAAATTTAAAAAAAAGAAATGTCATCCCTTGTCATTGGTTCTGTGACAGTCTCCCATTTCCCACTTCTCACTCCCCAGAGGCTACCTTGTTAGACCTTTGTCAGATACATAATTAGAAAACATTTTTTCCCATTCTGTGAGTTGTCTCCCCACTCTCTTGATGGTTTATTTTGTTGTGCAAAAGGCTGATGAAGTCCCACTTGTCTATCTTAGCTTTTAAGGTATTTGTTCTTGTGGACTTGTCAAGAATTTATTGCCTACTCTGATGTGCATAAGGGTGTTTCCTATGTTTTCTTCTAGGATTCTTATAGTTTGAGGTTTTACGTTTAGGTCTTTGATTTATTTAGAGACAATTTTTATATATGGTGATAGTAGGGGATTCAGTTTCATTCTTCTGCATGTGGTCACCCCTCCTGTTCAACATAGTGCTGGAAGTTCTTGCCAGAGCAATTAGACAAGAGAAGGAAATCAAGGGTATCCAAATAGGAAAAGAAGAAGTTAAGTTATCCCTCTTTGCAGATGATATGATTCTATACCTTAAAAACTCAAGGAAACCCATCAAAAGCCTCCTTGCACTGATAAACAACTTTGGTAAATTTGGGGGGTACAAAATCAACATGTAAAAGACAGCTGCATTTCTATACATCAGCAACAAGCAGGCAGAGAACCAAATAAAAACCACAATCCCACTCACAACAGACACAATAAAAATGAAATACCTAGGCATCCACCTAACCAGAGAAGTGGAAGACCTTTACAATGAGAACTATAAAACATTGCTTAAAGAAATCAAAGATGACACAAATGGAAAGACATTCCTTGTTCATGGATTGGAGGAATCGATGTTGTCAAGATGTCCATTCTATCCAAGGCAATCTACAGATTGAATGAATACAATACCCATCAAATTACCAACACCATTTTTCTCAGACCAGAAACGACAATACACAAATTTAAATGTAAACAAAAAAGGGCAAAAATAGCCAAAACAATCTTCAGAAAAAGGAATAAAGCAGGAGATAGCATGTTTCCACACCAAACTTTATTAGAAGGATACAGTAAAGAAAATAGCCTGATATTAGTACAAGAAGGGACACATAGACCAGTGGAACAGGACAGAGATTCTGGAAGCAAAAACATGATCTCTCAACTAACTCATCTTTGACAAAGTCACCAATAACAATCACTGGAGAAAAGGAGACCATATTTGGCAGTTGGGGATGGTATTGTTCATAAAATACTTTGAAAAAATACCTGGCTCAAGTTTCATACATGTTTAACATTGGAAAAATTCAAACAAAAATAATAATAGTGACTCTCCATGTTCTCAGAGTGAGAGCTCTGGGGATGGAGCTGAGCCTGGCTTGTATTCATGGGAGAGACACAAGTCAACCGAGACGAAGGTGGGAAATTTGAGAAGAAAGTACTACTGACCACTCTGGGTCAAACCCTGAATATGATGCTCAGGGCCACTCCGATCCTGAAAGTGTTTTCTTTTGTGATCATTAGGGAGAACTCCAGTACTCTTCATAGAAAAGGGCTGTCATTTCCTTGAAATTTGGAGATAAATACAATGCTTCTGATGTCCTAAGGGAAATGGCCAGGCAGGCGTGCTGTGCCCAATTGCTTTGATTCATCTGTCTGAAAATATAAACTATTCTCTGCCGATGATTCATATGCAAATAATGTGCAAAAGCTGACTGCCAAAACCAAAGGTACGATAGGAAAAGAATCTAAACACTCAACCAAACCATTTACTTGTTGAGGAGAATTTCATAACATATACTTCAGAAGTATAAGCAGCTGTGGAACCAGGTGAATTTTTTAATAATTGCTACAGAGATGGTAAGAGTTTATCATTTCCTCTGTGAAAAACTCTCAAGGAAATTTTTAAGCAGAAGTTTGCTTAAGATATAAGTATCATAATAAATATACTTAATTATCTTTTGTAAGACTTTAATATTTTAAATATGGCAGTAAGCCCTTTGTGGGGAGGGGAAACTTCAATTAAATACGGACAGATTGATGAGGAGTTTCCCAACATACCAATCTCTAATTTGTGGAAATATATTAACATGGAAAACAACATATTTGCCAAATATCCTCTAAGGGAAAGTATAGTATGCAGCTGAAAAAATATTTTCCTTCAAACTTTGTATTTTGAAACGTTTCAGACTCATAGAAAATTTAAAAGAAACAACACAAATGCCCATATAACTTTCATCTCGATTTTGCCAATTGTTTAGATTTTACCACATTTATTTTCTTACTCTCACTTCATTGTTCTGTCTCTGTGGTATGTATTTGTACATACCTATACCCATCTTTTTTTTCTCCTGAAACATTTGGAAGTTATAGACAAATTTTTTATTTTATCCCTAAGTATCTCAAAAGCATCTACTAAGAATAGGAATAGTCTCCTTCATGACCACGATACCATTAGGTTATTTAAGAAAATTAACATTAATTCAATAATATTATACAATACATGTTGTCCATATTTAAATTTTTCTAATTGTCTTTTATAGCTGTCTTCATTTTGTTTCCTGCTCCAGAATCCAATTATGTCTCACTATTTGCATTTGGTTATTACATGTCTGGAAGAAATGTTTAAATAAGCCACAATGTGTAATTCTGGATCAGATGGCACACCCCAGAAATACTGATGACTTCCTAGGGAGGGTGGGTCCAGTTTTTGTTTTATTGAGGGGATACAAAGTATGAGGTCAAAACTGAATTGGTAATACAACAGAAGAGGAATTACCATCTTAAAACCAATGTCCTTATAAAATGTTTAAACCTTTATTTAAAAGTAAGGCTGAGAGTACAGAGTACATCTTGGATGGTAACTTCAAGTTTTAAGAAGTGCTAAACTCTAAATAGATAAAAGACCTAAACATAAAACCTCAAACTATAAGAACATTAGAAAATGCAGGAGACATTCTTATGGAAATTGCAACTAGCAACTAAGTCCTCATCAAAACCCCAAGTGTCCATGCCATAAGAGAGAAGACAGACAAGTGGGACCTTATCAAACTGACAAGCTTCTGCAAAGCCAAAGAGACCATTGAGAGAGTGGGGAGTTGACCCACAGACTGTGAAAAAATATTTGCTAACTGTATGTCTGACAAAGGCCTAACATCTAAAATCTACAAGGAATTCAAATGTGCCAAAAAGAAAAAAACAGTCACATTACAAAGTAAGCAAAAGATATGAATAGACACTTCTCAAAAGAAGACATATAAGCAGCCAACAGATACATGAAAAAACTCTCAGCCTCACTAGTCATCAGAGAAATGCAAATTAAAACCACACTGAGATACCACCTAACTCCAGTCAGGATGGCCATCATCAACAACTCAAAAAACAACAGATGCTGGAGAGGATGCAGCAAAAGAGATCACTCCTATACTGTTGAAGGGAGTGTAAACTAGTACGACCTCTGTGGAAAACAATGTGGCGATTCCCAAAAGATCTAAAAAACCTTCCATAAGATCATATAATCCCCCTACTGGGAATATACCTGGAGGAACTCAAATCACTCTAGAAAAAAGATACCAGCACATACATGTTTATTGTAGTATTATTCACAATGGCAAAAACATGGAACCAGTTGTGCTGCCCATTGAAAGAGGACTGGATTAAAAAAATGTGGTACATATACACAATGGAATATTATACAGCCATAAACAAGGACAAAATTATGAACTTCATAGCAACTTGGATGGACTTAGAGGCTATACTACTGAGTGATCTATCACAGAAATGAAGAACCTTGTATCACATGTTCTCATTCATAAGTAGACCTTGAACAACTATCATAATACTATAAGAAAGGGATTGGCAGTAGTGGGAAACTGCCAAGGGAGGGGGGACACACCACATCGACAAGGGTACCTGAATAATGAACATTTGTATACCTAATCCTCAACTGTACCCCAAATGTTTAAAGTTAAAAATTAAAAAAAATAAAAGTCGTGCCAAATTATTAGCATACCCAAGACACCAAATTATTAAGCTGCTCAAAGTTATATTGAATTGACTCTGCATTAGAAAAATAATAAATAGTATTATTTTTAACCTAACAATAATTTAACAATATGAGCAATGTACCCCAAATTACCTCTTCTGTAGCTGCTCATCAGACATTTGTAGCTCCTCTTTTAAGCGCCTGTACCTGTCTTCTCTCAGCAGCCTAGAGCCATCATAGAGGCTTAGCTCTCGATCATGGATTAACCTAAAGGGAGCAGGAAAAAGTCAGAAAACAAATTAATGAGTTTTGACACTGAAGTTATTAGAGGTAGAATCACTCAGTTCAATTTTTAATCATGTCTATTATTGCTGGCAAATGAGTCTAACAATTTTGTTAGACGGACCTTTCAAAATTTCAAGTTGGCTAGTGCTAGGATACTTGGCAAAACTGTTGGTTTCTATATAGGAGGGCAGTAGTCATGAAAGCTAGCTGTGGATAGGGAGGAGGAGGAGGAGAAAGAAAGGAAAAGGAGAAGGAAGAGGAGGAAAAGGAGAGGAGGCGGAGGGAGAGGAAAAGAAAGAGCTGAATGAGTGTCTCAGGATAACCATGAGACACATATTAATGAACAAGGCAGTTGGCACGTACTTTGTAGAGTCTAATGTAACTCTTTATGGGATGGTATCAAAATATTTCTATCTTTGAAATTATAAGGTTTAAAACATCAAAAATATCCATAATGAAATAACTACATTGCTTTTCACACACCAACTCTGATGTGACCTAACCACCCACACCACAAACAACATTGTCTTCCAGATATTGCAATGGTGGAAAGGTACTGTTCTACATCTTACACCAACACCTAAGTCTCCTGATGCCCAGGTTAGACTTGGCCCACACAGCCTTCATCCTATAAGCACTGAGGGGAGGGGAAGCTATGTAATGTAGAGGTAGGAGCATAAGCAATAGAGCCAGTGAGAGCTAGGCTCAACTCCAGCTCTGCATCTTAACAGCTGAATGACTGGGGAGGGGGTGAACCACTCCATCTCTCTAAACTTTTATCTTTTATAACATTAAGGCAATAATATCAACTTCATAGTGTTGCTGTGCAAATTCAACAGCTAATATAAAACAGATGATTAATATACTTGCTCTCAATCTTGGCTGTATATCAGAATCTTATGGGACGTGCTTAAAACTACCAATGTTCAAACCTTAGTCTAGACCAATTACATCAGAATTTGTGGAGGTGAAGTCCAGGCATCAATATTTTTTAATTCCCATCCCACAAGGTGATTCCAAGGTTGAGAATCTGAGAAGCAATAGCTTAGCACAATGCCGAGCACAGAGTTAAGTAGTCAATTTACGGTAGCTGCTGCTGCCGCCACTATTACTAATCGGCCAAACATGCAAGAGATAGCCAATAAAAGGGGACTAACTATTATTATGTCTGCATTTATGTTTGGGGAAAAAAATATTGTAAATCTATTAAATGTTTATGATAACACTGAAACTTTGTAATTATTTTAGATCTAATCAGGAGTAACACAGAGTATTTGGAATCTTTAATTATGTATGCATCTTCTCAAGAACAAAAACCTTGAGTAGTTAGCAGCAGGGGAAGTGGCTTATTCCACTTATTTGACCTTTCCTAAAAAGTCAGTGCATCTACAAGTTAGAGAACCAAGTCAAAAATATCAGTATTATTAATCTCCTAAAATGACATAGGATGGAGATATTTTCTACAAAAGTTATACATGAAGAGCCTTCTTTCAATCTTAAATTCTAGACAAGTTTTAGGAGTATGTGAAAATTTTCCCTACCTAAACTGAAATAAAGAAACAAGAGTTAGAGAAATGTTCAAGTTTGTAACCACAAAGCAAAATTATTAGTCTATATGAAACATAATCAAACAGTTATTACACATTTTATATTTTAAAAAACGACATTTTCTCTTTCTCTCAAAGATTCCAACAAGATCAATCAATAATTAAGATTTATGATTTATAAGGAGTTTATAAGTAGTGAAGCTGTGACTCTGACAAATTGTAGAAACTTCAGCTGTGTGACATGTTGCATATATAAAGCCTTTCAAAATTATTACTGAAATTTTTCTTTTTATACTCTTACAGAATTTTGCTATGGCAATATAAATGTTTATTATTTGGAGTTTTATTGTATTGTGTTTATAACAATTAAAAAACTGACATTCTACTTGGATATAGAATCATGAATTTCTCAGTATCAACATAATCCAGTTTTTAAAAAGAGAGAGAGATTGAAAGAGTTTCAGTATACAGCTTAAGTTGAAGTGTTTTGTGTGTATGTGTGTCTGCATGCGTGTGTGTGTTTTGGGTTTTTTTGTGATTTATACAAACCTTTGCAATACAGTGAGTGTGCCCGCGTTGATCCGATGAATGCCATCAAGCAGGACCAGTTTGCCTTCCAGAGCAGCATTCACAAGGGGTGAGGACCGCCAGGCAGTGTCTCCATTGGGAAGAGTGTATCTCTGCTGTAGCAGATCACGTGCTGTCATATCCTAAAACCAATCCCAACCACAAACATAAGAACATTAATATTGGGCTTTATTGAGTCATCTGCCTCTGAACATAACATTCCATACAGCAACTGGGAAGTCATCTTATACAATCCCCAAAAAGAAAGACCTTCGGAAAGCATTTTTTTGGTCATTTAAGAACATTTGGCTATTACTTGTTTACAGAAAATATTTGCCGACTGTATATCTGACAAAGGCCTAACATCAAAGATCTACAAGGAACTCAAATGTGCTGAAAACAAAAAAACAAACAGCCCCATTACAAAGTGGGCAAATGACATGAATAGACATTTCTCAAAAGAAGACATACAAGCAGCCAACAGATACATGAAAAAATGCTCAGCCTACTAATCATCAAAGAATTGCAAATTAAAACCACTGAGATACCGCCTAACTCTAGTCAGGACGGCCATCATCAATAACTCAAAAAACAACAGATGCTGGAGAGGATGCAGTGAAAAGGAAACACTTCTACACTGTTGGTGGGAGTGTAAACTAGGACAGCCTCTGTGGAAAACAGTGTGATGGTTCCTAAAAGATCTAAAAATTGACCTCCCATGCAACCCCTCAATCCTCCTACAGGGAATATACCCAGAGGAACTCAAATCACTCTATGAAAAAGATACCTGCACACACACGTTTACTGCAGCATTATTTACAATAGCAAAAAACACAGCTGCCCATTGAAAGAGAACTGGATTTTTAAAATGTGGTACATATATGCAATGGACTATTACACAGTCAAAAAGAAGGACAAAATTATGAACTTTGCAGCAACTTGAATGGACTTAGAGGTTATAATACTGAGTGATCTATTACAGAAACAAAGAACCGAGTATCACATGTTCTCACTCATAAGTGTACCTTGAATAATTATCATAATACTATAAGAAAGGGATTGGCAGTAGTGGGAAACTGCCAGGAGAGGGTGGGGGTAAGATTGGCAGTAGTGGAAAACTGCCAGAGGAGGAGGGCACATCTCATCAACAAGAGTACCTGTATAATCCTGAGTTGTATCCCACATACTTAAAATTTTAAAAATGAAAAAAATGAAAAAAAAAATAAATAAAACTATTGCTTGCATCTGGGGAAAAAAAAAAAAAACGGGTTTTTTTTTTCCTAATTTTCATTAGTATTTTCTTCCTCTCTTAAAAAGTTCATTTAGATAATGATAGTAGTTTCTATCTGACTTTAGTGAAATTTAGCTCAATCAATTCTGGCAGGGACCAAAATGTGTTGATTTCATTTTAAAATGAGAGGCCATGGAAACTCAATACGCAGAGATGTGTATCAATTATGTGCATTTTCTTGCAGTTGATGAGTTTTCCTGAAAAGTCATGCTAGGGACCACCATAATGATTCACTGTATTTAAAGAGGCTAGGTGATGTAGGAAACTGAGGACAGTTGTCAGACGAGGTACAGGAATTGGGAAACAATGATGGCACTTACAAGCAAAATTTTAAAACACACACACAATGTGCTAACACTAAAATAGTGTAACAGACTTAAGCAAACTATTAATAGTGGTGGCACAAAAACATTTATCTACTATAAAAGAAATTCAGTGCTATATAATATGAATAATTTTTTTTCCATGTCTTAATGTGGAAGATAATTTATTTTCTGTTATCAGCTTCAGATACATTTTGTGGTACTCACAGCAAACAAAACTTAAAGTTTTACAGTCACTTTTATCCAAAAATGTTAGTCTTTTGCAAATCATGTGCTACTCTACCTACCCTCAGTTTTGAGCAGATAGAAGACTAAAGAATGTGCTTAATGTCAACAAATCTGTATAGAAACTAAGATTAATATTTCAGTCTTAATTATTTCAGTTTCAAAAATTTCAGTCTCAATTATTCTATCAAGAAAGTACAGACTCAGAAAGTATGAATAGGCTCATATTGAATCATTAAAGACCCTTTGACACAGAGACCCGAGAAAATCTGTCTATATTGGAACAGCCCCTAGAAAAGGGCATGGCAAGGGTTCAAGCGCTCCTGTACATTCCTAAACAATATTTCTTCGAGCTAATGAAAGGTGTGCTTCCCCTCATCTCCTATGCACTCCCTGTAAGATCCTTCAAAGGAAGTTTTTCCCTGCAGACTATGCCCAATAAACTGAGAGATACATTCCTGAGCACATTTCTGAAAGATGCAAATCCCCATTTAGTAGTCATAGGTTTGAACAATACAGTATCAATGTAAAAATAAGTTTTGTGATTTGTTTAACTTTTGCATAATGCACAATATCTTAGGCCTTGTAAACTCCCTTTACTCTATGGCAAGTTTGATTAACGCTACTGCTGGGCCCTGCTGATAAAAGCTATGAGATACCTCTGGTACCTGGCACCAGAAAGTCTGGACTGAAAAATCTGTACAAAGATCTACTGGTCACGTGGCTAATGTATAGGTACTAATAACTCTGGACTTATTAAAAGTGAACTGTAAAAGCCTGGAGGGTGAGAAGAACCATTTTAAAGAGGCCAAAAGATCACTCTGCTCCCTGGATTCAAATTCATACATAAACTTTTTTCTACTAGTTCCCTACCCCTTTGATATACTGGTATCAAGGGAGAGTAGCCAGACCATAACACCTTGAGAAACAATAACACATTCAAACTCAGCAAGTTCCCATAGGCTTAGAGGGCTGGCTTTGATACATTAACAAAATATGACCACTTTTGATTATTTTATTTAATTCTTCAACTATGAATTCTAAACTCTATGCAAACTGTCTGAGCAGTATCACTTTTTGCTGCCCGTGACAGTTACAAAAACCAAGTCTAAATTCATCACCATTATCAGTGTTTACTGAGACAGACAGTTCATGGTAGGAAGGAGCTCATTTCCACAAGGGTTATGATATAGAACACTAAATGAACTATTCTACAAGAAAAACAGAACAAAATCAAAATAAGTGTCTGTGGGTTATTATCACAAACTATAAAAAAAATCAAGTATTTTATATACAAATACATGTTTGAATAAGTAAATACCTAAACATGTGTATAGATATATACATATACAAATATATACACAAAAAAATATTTTTGAAGTTAATATAAAAATAGATATTAACACAAAAATATTTGCTATAGAGTCACATCACATATTACCCTAGAATTAAACAAACAGAAAACATGCTTTAGCACACTGGTTCAAAATTAAAGATACATGATCAGAAAGCACTGGGGAACTTTTGGAAAATATATGAGTTTGGGTTCTAGCACCTGAAGATTCTGATTTTTGGTTGGGTCAATGTGAGACCTCCCATCTGCTTTCTATTAAATATTACATAGGTAATTCTGATATACCTCCCAGGTGACAATGCTTTAAAAGACATTAAGTTAAAATCCATTTATTTACATCCCTCCTTATTCTAATATGACATATGAGATTGCACAAGGATATATAAAATATACAGCAAAATAGCATAAATTGAAAGTCAAGTCAAAAAATTGGGGGGGAAAGAAAATACTGGGTTTTGTCTCTTTTAAGTACTTGCACTGGAATTCAGACAGGAAGTGGCATGATGAAGGCATCCCACTAATACTATATTTTCAAAGAAATGAATGGATGCTAAATTTCAAAATCTCAGCTCCAGACTGAAAACAACTGATACCCTGACCCAATTCAGTTCAGGAGTCTTTTGCTTGGGCCCAGGAAAAGGAGATGAGGAATGTTGTGGCTCTGAAAAAGTCACGACTCTTAAGGAGCCAAGGCTGGCAATTGGGAACTTCTTTTTTTAATTTCAGTGAAAAGAATTCTTTGTTCTCACACCAGCATATCCTGAAACACCATTGTGTGCACGATATGAAAAAGCACTACTTCATTTGGTCATGATTCCAAAGTCCTTTTCCATCTTATTAATTCATTCAACATCTACAATATTTGCCTTATTCACATAAGTAAACAGTTATTAATAGGGATAATGAGAAAGACACCTAGCACATAGTTCTCCTCTTTTCCAACCTGGCAGTTGGAGACGCCCTTATATTTACTAAAGTAAACGGAAACAATTATTTGTTGCTACACAGTAAGCCATAACAGATCAATAAAGCTCAATGCTGCTAATGTGAATCATAGCTACAGACCAGAAAGTTATTCCCTTTTTCAGTCTTTAGAGGGGTAGACAATGGAAAATACTTGGCATCTCTTAAAGGCCAGCTCAGTTCACTTTTATCACCTAAACTCTCTGTACACTATCATATTAGAAATAGTCATTCTTCGTTTCTAATATATCTTTGCATTAAAATAAACCAATCTTAAAAGAAAGTAAAGCATTTCCTATAATACAAGCTTTTGGTTTTCATAATTAAGACCCTCTCTTGAAATATTAAAGTTTCAGCTTTTCCTTAAAGACATAATTGGCCCTTTCCCCAATATGAGTTATTTCAGAAGCTATTTTCAATTGTGCAAGTTATTTTCAATTGTGTGAAAGTGCAAGGACACCAAAGTTAAACTGAAGCTTCAGAGAACACCTGAACCTATTAAATCTAATTAACAAAACTTTTTCAGCATAGTCTGAATGAGTAAGTGATATGAATTAATTTCAAACAATAAGCTGTTTAAAACAGAGTAACGCCATTTTTAAGTGTTTCTGTCTGTAGAATATCTGGTTTTTAGCACCATGAAATTATTGCTTTAATATCTTTATTTTAACAGATGCTGCATCATGGAGTTGTTAGAAATGTATATATACTAAGAAAAATGAATGTTCCTATTTTTGCATACATTTTTCTTATCCCTCAAACTCTTGAACTTAAGAGAATAAAAATAGCACTAATGATATCACAGAGCCCAAACCATTTCCTCTTTCTGCATTTCCTTAAAAATTTTAAAATAACAGGACATGCAATCTAATCCCTTTAGGGTTACCATTGTCTAACCTTCGACACCTCACCTTCATCAGAACCCTGGAATGTATCCATATTTCTTAAGCTTCTGTATCATTTAGAATTTTGCTCTTTTGATTTACA